CACCTGGTGGGCACTTGGGTTGTTCCCATTTCTTGACTACTGTAAAAAGTGTTGCAAGAAACATGGAAGTACAGATGTCTCTATGATTTCATTTCCTTTAGATATATATTCCATAGTGGAAATGCTAGAGCATATGGCGGTTTTATTTTTACTTAGTGAAAGAACTTCCAATACTATGTTCCATAATGGTTGTGCTAACTTACATTCCCATCAATAGTGTAAATTCCCTGTTTTCTACATCCTCACCAGCACTTGTTATCTTCTGTCTTTTTGATAATAGCCATTCTACTGGAGAAGGGTAATATCTCCTTACAGTTTTGATCTGCATTCCCCTGATGATGAGTAATACTGAGCATTTTCTCATGTATTTATTATCCACGTGTGTTCCTTCTTTTGAGAAATGTCTATTGCTCATTGTTAGATCATGTTACTTGTGTTTTTTGTTAAGTGTTTTATTTTTGCTAATGAGTTTGGGGGGTTCCTTATATATTCTTATGTTCTAAATATTAATCTCTTATCATAAATATAGTTTGCTAACATTTTCTCTCATTCTGTACATTGCTCCTTTGCCCAGACAATTATTTCCATTGTTGTGTGAAAGTTTTTTAGTTTAATGTAATCCGATTCATTTTCTGTGCTTTGGGGATCTCTTCCAAAAATTCCTAACCCATTCAAATGACCTAAAGTATTCTCCCTATAATTGCACAGTTTCAGGACTAATATTTAAATCTTTGGTCCATATTTAGTTGCATTTTGTAACTGGTGATGAATAGCACTCTAGTTCCATTCTTGGATATGTGGATACCCAATTATTCCAGCACCATTTACTGAAAAAAAAATGCATGTTCTTAAACATCTTTGTGAAAAATCAGTTGGCTATAGATCTGTGAGTTAGCCTCTAGGATCTTTATTCTGTTCCATTGGTCTATGTGTCAGTTTTTACACAAATACCATGCTGTTTGATTACTACAGCTTTGTAGTATATTTTGGAGTCAGGTTGTGTAATACCTCCTGCTCTGTTCCTTTTGCTCAAAATGACTTCAGCTATTCAGCGTCTTTTGGTTCCATCCAAATGTCAGGATTGCATTTTTTAGTTCTGTGAAGAATGTCCCTTGTATTTTGATTGGGATTGTCTTGGATAGCATGGAGATTTTAAGAATATTGGTTTCTGCAGACCAACATGAGATGTTTCTATTTTTGTATGTGACCTCTTCAATTTCTTCCATTAATATTTTAGCTGGGAAGGAGCGGTGGCTGTAATCCCAGCAGCTCAGGAGACTGAGATAGGAGGATCGACAGTTCAAAGCCAGCCTCAGCAACAGTGAGACCCTGTCTCTAAATAAAATACTAAAAATGGCTGGGGATGTGGCTCAGTTGTTGAGTGCCACTGAGTTCAATCCCCGGTACCCCCCCCAAAAAACACCATATTTTATAGGCACAGTTGCTTTGATGTATAAATGAGGTAAATAATTACAATGTTCCTAGAATATATATAATAGGTCCTTACTTACCTTCAACCTAACACCCTCCTCCCATTTTCCTTTTTAACTTACAATAAGAAAAGCTACTTGTCCCCAGTGCCCCTCCATAAATCTAACTATTCCCTTTTGTGTGTTGCTTCTCGTAGCTGCCAGTGCTTTTTAACCTCTTCTTCTTCCATAAGGCTCATCCATTGCTCAAGGCACAGTTTAAGAGGTATCTTCTTTGACAAATCTTCTGAACTAACAACCCTACTTTAAGAACTTCTTCCTTCCTTCATTATGTAAATTACTTGTACTTTTACAGCATATATTTGCTTATACCTTCTTTTAAAGCTTTGTAACTACAATTACTTCCTAATTGCTTTGAATGCTTTTGTTTTCTTCCCTAACTAGAAAGTAAGCTATTAACAGACTCTATTATAAATTCCCCAAGGTCAGTGATATTGGTTAGTTTCCTTTACTAACAGATGACAGGTACATAAAACAATGCCAAAAATGTAGAAGTGCTCAAAATGTACTTACTAAATAAAAAGAAGTTATTTCTCCTTCCATTCATGAATTGCTCTAAAGTTCCAAATATAATCCCAAATATACACATATATAAACTAAATGTTTTTTGAGTAAATGAAAATTGTTATGCCTGAAATTTTAAAAATTCAAAAAATTAATAGAGCCAAAGCAGATTAATCAACTCAGTTTCTACAGAATGGTACTTAACTTGTTCAAGATGAGAACATTTAAAAGAATCATTGTTAATTACTTAAATCTTAAAGATTTTAACTATAATTTTCAATAGTCACACTAATGACAATTATATAGGACTAGGAACACAAAAAGGGGCATATTTGGAGTTATGGAGGGTCATTTGGGGACAAGTAACTTTTCTTATTGTAGAGTTATAAAGGAAAGCGGGAGGGGCGTGTTACATTGAAGGTAAGTAACCTTTGTTGAGGCCTATAATGTATATTCTAGGTATTCTATAGAACTACTTAGAAAATTCTTAAGTAAGTGAATTATGTGTAGGAAGATTATATTGTGGAATGAATGGATTTTGGAGACTGGGATATGAATCCTAGCTCTCCTATTTCTTAGCTGGTTAACCATAAGCAAAATATGTAACTTGTAAGATGATCATTATTTCTCCTTTGCAGTTATCATATAGATTTTAAAAGATAATGTACCCACTCCTTCACTCAACACCTTAAAACTTCCTATGATGAACTATAATTTTTATGGTAAGTTTCAAAGTCCTTCAAAAACTATCTTTTTATTTTCAAAGATGAGGAAAATGTTTTCTAGTCTCAAAAATTCTTTAACAACTAGTCAGAAATGCTCAATATGTAGATAAAAAGCAATGTTAAAGACAGAACACAGAGAAGGATACACGTACAAAGCTCATTATAATCATTCACATAACAAATTTATTCAAAGGTGAATATACCAATCTTTATTCCCCCTAGCTAGTATTAGTATTATGAAATTACCTATTAATACTAGCTTAACAAATATTATCTTGCAATACTGGGAAAGCACAGTAGCAACCCAAAGACATACAAACTAATTATACTACTCTCCTCCCTTAGCATATTAAGAATTTTCCAATATGATAAATATAGTGATTTCTGTTTCAGTTTTATATAACACATTAAATTGTTAATCTTTAAGTTTATCCCCTCCTCTCATATGAATTCTCTATTTACTGGATGATAGAGTATAGCATACTCTAACTGGAACTGAAACTGGAACACTAGTTTCAGACTCAACCCAAACTTGAGTATGTTCACATTCTCCCAAATTCTTTGCTCACAATACAGGTTTATCAATGGAATTATTTTCCCCACCAGAGAGCATACTCCTATAAAGGCATAAATCATATCATCTATTCCATAGACCCTAGACCACCATTCCCAAAAACTTATGCCTCTTGTGTGTTTGTGTGTATTCAATGATATCTTTGTTCTGTTTTGTCTTAATTTTCTACTTCCCAAAGTCATATTATTAAGTTAAAACTAATTAGTGGCCTACCCTAGTCACTGTACATTTTAAACTATATTATTTTATCAACCCTAAAATATTATACTTATTAGAAATCTTCCAATTTACAAGGTGTTAATATGTGAAATTTAGCAGATAGTGATAACACATTCAAGTTTCAGAGCGTTAAAACATAAGGAAAACTGCATACCTTACTCATTTTAGAAATTGAAGGTGAGAAAGAGCTTACATACTTTTCCCAATATCAATACATGTATACCAGGTTGATCACATGGAGCAACACCCAATAACAGGGGAAGAAATGGAACAAAAACCAATTACATTAACTATTTCCTCTCCATTCAACAAAATAAGGACATATCCAATATGATTATTTATAAAACTATATATATTTAATCCCCAAAGTTCTTACATATAACAGATGATGAGGTTCAAAAGTTCACTGAACATCATACAGCAGTTAATAAAATCAGAGACTCATTATCCGACATTCTGGCCAGACAAATACATCTGACCTTATTACCAGGATATTTTTTTCCCTTGAAATAGTATCATACACTTTATTGAAAATAAGAAGGCATCAACTAAGTCTTTGTTAATGTACAAAATATAGTTAAAAATTATAACAAAGTGATTTGCCAATATAAAATTAAATACTTAAGGGAGTAATACTTTCCAAATGATGGCACATTTGTTGCTAATGAGTATATATGTTGACCAAATTTAAAACCATGTGGGAATACAATTCTACTTAATTCCTTAGATAGTCACTCACTTTCACTATTAAGTATTTAGGTTATTGAATAATAAATATTACATTAAGTAACAAAGAACTTAATTCCAAAATAGAAAGCACTAAATTTTATCATTATGTATCCTCTAGCAGAATAAAAAGGAACATTGCAACATAATATAATATTAAACCTCAACCTAAATATGTCTTAAGGAAGGAGCAAAAAAGAAAAAAAGTGAGAAGCTGGTAATAATTTTGGAACAGAAATTTATTTCAGGTGGTAGAAATTTTTTTAAATAATTAATAGGGGCATTTAGAAAAGTCACATAAATAGAATTTACAGCTTAACTGAGCCTCAATAATAAAAAGAAGCAAATTTCTCTCTCACCTTTCTTCTCTCAGCCTATGATAAATGTCAACATTTCAAATCACTTTATCCTAAGAAATAAGTATCAGTTCTGTATAACATAAAATAGAAGGAATAACAAGATAGGGGATTATTTTCATTAAAAATAAATATTTGTATAAGTTATTTCCTAGAAAGTGTCATTTTCTTTTAAGAGTAAAAACAATCAGTAACCAAAATTAAGAGAATCAGGAATTTATTTTCAACCTAAGATCTAGTTCCAATAAACTGTGAACTAAAATAGATTCATGTATTAAGTACTGTTGATATTATACAAATATTTCTCTATTTGTTACACAAAGCACCATAAAATTTACCATATTTTATATTCTAAAAATTTTAAACTGAATTAACTAATAATTATATATTAAAATTCTCATCTTACTTCTCCATTTCTTAATGTTGTGATGGCTCCTCTTGCCACACCCATTCTAAATAGTGTTTCTGTAGCCTGTGAATAGAAAAAAAAAAAAAGCTAAAGTATGTAATTTGTACACTACTGTATACCCACCCCAAAAAGGAAAAAAAAAACAATACTATTACATATTCAACAACTTGTATTAACACATTAGTAAGGAAAAATAAGAGACATCCTAAATTATATACCAGAAATATCATGTCTATGATCTTTTACTGTTAAAAGAATTTGAACTGTTTCAAAATGTTATTTTGACAGGCGTAGGGATAGTTTTTTAAAAACATTATTTTGACATGCTGGCATTCCTCCAGATATAGAGCTTTGACTTAGAAAATTAGTTCACTGTGATAAGCTTAACCTTAGTTTTAAAAACAAAAACTAAATTAAAATTTAATATTTGGCTTTTAATTCAGAAATTATCATTTATTCTGAATTTTGGTGGCCATTTGAATTCAGTTCAAATCACTTTTCTGCTACTAAAATACAGAATGAAGTGATAGTACATATTAAATGACCTCACAAATAGTTCTGTAAGCTAATAAAAAGCAATCAGAAAAGAAAATAATTCCACGTACAATAGCATAAATATAAACTTAAGAAAAACCTTCCATGGAGGTAAAAAAAATAACTTGTCCACTGAAAACAACAAAACATTGCTGAGCAAAATTAAACATACAAATAATAGAAAAACATTTTGTGCTCCTGATTTGGAAGACTTCTTATCAAGATGTCAATACTGTCTAAAGTGACCAAAATTCAATGCACAAAATCAACTAATACGAGGTCTTTTCCACCTGGCTTCCTTTACTAAAATAATGTTTTTCATACTCATCCATTGCTTTTTGTATATACAAACTCTTCCTTCTTATTACTGTAGGAGTCCATGGCATGGACATTCTATATTTTTTTTATCCATTCACCTATGTTAGACCTGTGGTTTGTTTCCAGTTTTTATCTACTTTAAGTTTCTACAAATACCCTCAAAAAAATTCAATGCAATCCCTGATGTTTTTCACAGAAAAAGAAAGCCTATCCTAAAATTCACATAGAAATTTTTTATAATTATGGGCAAAATGTTAAAAAAAAAGTTATGCCATAGCTCAGCTATGAACTATATTGTTTGAATAGAATGTGGTAAACATTAAATACTATATTATCTAAAATTTATGTATTACCAAATTGTGAACATCCTCATTCAGGGTGTAAGGAATATCAAATTCCTATCTTCTATAGTACAGTTTCAATAATGTGTAAAACTGAATCAAAAATAGCAGTGCATGCAAGTTAATTTCAATATCAGTAAGTAAATAGCACAGAAATTAGGTAAAAGGCTGTAGGTAGTGCCTTTGCATTATAGAATTCAGGCACTGGAAGAGGTAGAGAAGAAAACTTGTTTTTCTAATATCTTTGCGGCTTACTACTTGATTATTGGAACTATATGTAAACCTGTGATTAATATTTTAAAAAAAAAACAAAGAAATGACCAACAGTGTCCAATTTTGTAATGATGTTGAATACTCGACAAAGCAGTGCATAAGAGAATGAGAAGATAAAAAAATCAAAAGTCATAAATAAACTCCTTTGAAAAGTTTTTACTAAAACATATAAAACTAGAAGTTGGATTTTCACTGAAGCATGTAAAACCAGATTTGAGTAAGGAATGAAATTGAGTTTCAGTTAGAAAGAGAATCAGAGTTGACGGAAAATTGGTAACAGGATATTTTTAGCATTAAAGATATTTAAACAAGTTTTAATGACAGACTAGTGGTCAGTAAGATTGAAAAAATTATAGAAATATGAAGGGGACTTAATACTGAAGGAAAAGTTTCCTAAAGAACATAGGATCAAGAGCATGCATAGCAATCTATAAGTTGTACTAGAAGGAAGAAGGTACAAACATAGCTAAACCATCTCCTTCCTCCTCCAGCAAGTTCTTCTGGATCTCTTCCCAGTTCTTCTGTCCTTCCTATTCCTTTCCCTCTCCTTCTACCTCTCTAAATTAGGAAACAGAATAATCTTCTGAAAATAACAGAAACAGTGACTTAAGGGAAAGGGTAGAGTATATAATAGATGCAAAAGAAAATTTTAAGGAAATGGAACATAGTACTTAAAATCTATCTAAAATTAAAAAAAAAAAAAACATTTTTGTTGGTGCAAATCTAAACAGCTAATGACATTAGAAACTAGAGGGCTTCCATTTGGGAACTGTCAAGGGAAAGTAAGCAAGACTATAGAGGATATGGATGAAAAGGTAAATCCTCTATTTCAACTTCACTCTGTGTAATTTAAAAAAAAAATTCTAACATTTTTTAATTGAGTGATTACAATCTTTAAAATATCCCTACAAAAAATTTCACATAAAGGTGGGAACAGAAGAGGGTACATTAGTATCTATATGCTAGGTTAGAAAATAAGAAAAACTTTTAGGGAAAACTGCTGAAGTTTGTGAAGACCACACAATATAACTCCAATACATAACACTGAGAGATCACATACCCAAACATAAAACAAATTATAAATGAATGAATTTCTATGATAGATTTGTACTAAAATATGTAAACTTATATGTCCAAAGAACTACTTAAAGAAATTTTAATTAAAGGGAAAAGTACTTAACTTTTAATGTATTTGCATTTATTCCAGTCTTAATGATTTATATATGTATATATAAAATTATATATTATACCTTCTTGTTTCTTTGTAAACCCTACTTAAATTTAGTAATACAATTTTTAATAATACTCATCTAACCCAGGCCACTCTATATATCTGAGGAAGAAAGGGGGAAAGACACAGCAAGGACTTAGGATAAAATATGCAACAATTTTTCAAAACCAAATCAAATTATTTTCTTTTTTATGTCTCAAAAAACAAAGGCAAATGAAAATCAAGTTCTTTTTCCATACCTTCTCCAGCAGAATAAAACGCTTTTGTTTCCAACTAAATTATTTCATCAGCTCTTCCCACCAACATTTTTAAGAATGTTTCAGTCTAGTAATACTATAGTCTAGTATTCTATCAATTCAGCTAAGCTGCCCTTTGTTTCTATAGGAAAGTACCGAACTGTTCAAGTTTCTTTTGACCTCAATAAAGAGATTGCTTTTAATTAACTTGTACCTAAACTACTACTAACAAGAGTCAAAACAGTGAGATACCGCACTATCTCAGCATCTGTAAATTTAATAACAACAAATTCTTGATTGAAATATCCTTTCCTTTTTATTCCATCTAAGATGATAAATACTAAAAATATTCCTTCAATATTCTCTATATCAGAGGCACAGGGAAAAATTGCCTACAGGTCTGTTTAAAAACAGGTTACTGGGGCTTGGGTATATAGCTCATGGGTAGAACATTTGCCTAGCATGTGCAAGGCCCCGAGCTCAATTCCCAGCACTGAACAGAAAAAAAAAAAAGTAATCAAAAGAAACTTCTCTTAAAAACAGTATTAGAGAAAAGAGACCTAAGAGATATAAAACCTAGATTGTAATAAGTATAAAGTTCTAAACTGGAAGCTTGTGTATATGTTAAAAAAAAAAAGATCTGGAAAGATATATACCAAGATGAAAACAGTAACAATCTCTAAAATATTTTCCTTTTGCTTTATTTTCTAGTGTTTCACAATATACATTCAGTAGTATCCTTTTAGCCAAGACCCCCAGTAGATGCCTAAAACTGTGTACAATACCAAACCCTATATATACTATGTTTTCCTATGTATAAATACCTATGATAAAGTTTAATTTATAAATTAGGCAAAGTAAGAGATTAATGACAATAATAGAATATAAGAATTATAATAAAATACTGTATAAAGTTACTTAAAATTTATGAATTGTTTATTTTTAGAATTTTTCATTTAATATTTTTGGACCCTGGTTGACGAACTTGAAACCACAGATAAAGGGAATTTACTCTAAGTCTTGCTTGCTTGTCATTGTTTCTCCAATATTGTTTCTAATACTTTATTGTTTTTAATGTTTAGTTTTCTGTGGGAGGACTTCATAACCTCAAGGTAACCAGATATTTCTGATAAATTTCTCTTAAAAATGATAGAGGTACTACATGCACATGGTAAAAACTTAAGGAAAACAAAACAAAATACCCCTTATCCCAGATGCTTGGAAGCAGTGTTTGGGGGATTGTTTTAGTATGCTTTTGCATTACTATGACCAAAACCTCACAAAAGCACCTTAGAAGAGGAAAAGTCATTAGGGATTCACCATTTTAGAAGTCTCAGTGGGCAGATGACCAACTTCATTGTTCTGGGACCAAGATGAGGCAGCATATCATGGAAGAAGGGCCCAATGAAGAAAGGCTGCTCAGCTCCTGGTAGGGTCAGGAAGCAGAGAGCAGGGTGAAGAGTAAGAGGCAGCAGGAAGAACAACCCTTCCAGGGAACACCCTCATTGACCTACCTCCTTCAACCACACCCACTCTACAGTTATCATCCAATCTGTCTATTCAGACTAGGATGAACTGATTAGGTTATAGCCCTCACAATCTAATCACTTCATAATCCTGCATTAATACAGAAGCTTTTGGGAGACACACATATTCAAACAGGAATTTTTTTTTTTTCAGATTTTGGAGTATTTGCATATACATAATGAGTTATCTTGGGGATGTGACCCAAATCTAAACACAAAACTCATTTATGTTTCATATGAATTTTATATACATAGTCTAAAGTTAATTTTATGCAATATTCTTTGTGCACTTGTGTTTTGACTGCAACTTATCCCAGGAGACAGTTGTGGAATTTTTCACTTGTGACATTATGTTGGTACCCAAAAAGTTTTGAATTTTGGAGCATTTTGGATTTGGAAATTTTGGATTAGAGGTAATCAATGTGTAGTAGGAAACCATCTACCAGAATTACCAATAGAGCTATAAGTTGTATTTGCTAAGTTATTGCTGGAAAAAAAATAAGTAAACAACAAGAAAAAAGTTCTACATATTTACAATGGATTATCTTGACAAATGCATACCTAGTATTTACTGTATTATGTATTTGCATTAAATTAAAGCAGT